AGAAAGGACCTTCACCACGGTTCAACTTCGTGTCTGCAATGGCCAGTTATGAAAGCAGGTGATGAATTAGCTCTACGGCACAAATTATAAGCAAAGTGAAAAGGAAGTACAAACATAACATGTGGATTGAATTTCATAAAATGGTTATAAATATATGGACAAATCGTTAAATCCAGCTCGAGTAGTCGATGTTAATCACAGAACTTGCTGCCCTCAAAAGAATCGCTGCTACGCCGGAAGAATCCGAGTCTCAAAGAGCTAGCTTCCCGCTGTTCCACAGTGAAGTCACTAGACTGAAAAGTTGATAATGCTTTCGCCTATGTATCATGAGATTCTAGCTAGAATCATGATCGATCAACACTTATCATCTCAGTAAGGACGGGAGAGTACAAATCCTCAAGCGTAGCCGAAGTCACGTTCAAATCCGTGAATGACTTCTGCGAGACAATGAAACTAGTAGAAATTCTGGGACAACGTGTGATCACGTTATCTAACTAATCTTTAGATACAGAATGAACCGAGGTGGCTACCAACAAATTTCGGCTGGAAAGGCTTACAGCATTGGTGATCCTTCCTTAAACTTCAACAGAAATTTTATTAGCAAATCCGTGTATATTCACCCTAAAAGCGCTTCTGTTCTAGTTCATCACTGATAAAGTTTTGTGCGTCTCCTTCTCTTCATTTGTAAAACTTTTTTTAGAATTCGCTAATTATTGAACCATTCTAGTGGATATCAATAAATTTTCCATTCGCTTTTTTTGCAGAACAGAGCAACTTAGTGTTATTCGCTTGAGCAAAAGAAAGAATCTTCGTGTCTTCGAGGATACGAACGGGAAACTTGTCGCGCCATTCCGGAGTAACCGCAGGATTTCATTGTTGGATTCTGATCTGGACCACATGACCGCTTCCCACATAACTTAATTATCACTTGATTTTGATCACAATCTTTGGTCGGACCGACATGCAGGGTACAGCCTGCATACAGGCAAACAGATCCAGATACTAATTCGTTAATATGATTTATATGCTTGTGGAAGTTCTAAGTCAGTCATGCATGCCAGAGTTAAGGAGCGCATCCTGAGGATCTGGACTCAGGCCAGGAGTTAGGGTGAAGAGGAATTAATGGGCCATTCAGATTCAAAAAATCCCTCTATATCATGTGTCTCCTAAGCATGCAGCGTTCGCACAATTTGTAGAAGATTGCAGTTTTTATCTACAGATAATGAGATATGAAGAATATAGGATTATAACGCAGGACAAAAAATTATGAAATTACTACGAAATGCTCTTTTTTTTTCGAAAATATTGATTCGCCATGTGTTAGCTAATTAGATTTTATTGGAGACGGCAATCGATCAGCAGCCGTCCTGTATAAAAGGGCATCGCTGAGTGAAGTGAACCATTTGAGTGGTGCTCCCTCGAGTGGATTCGAGTCGATGCGACAACGAACAACCACATCGCGAGAACAACCATGGATCGTCGACTCGGATCAATCCGGTCCTGAAGAAGACGAAGACGTCGAAATTTTATCTCAATGAACTTTTTTATCAACCTCGTGTTAGCTTAATACTCGAAGAAGGTGTTATGAAATGGCTCACTACACCAGGTAGTCAATAGTTTGCCAATCTTTGCAGTTTTCTTGGAGGGAAAAATTTCCTGAATGATCTAATGGGAAGCAAGAGTTCGATGCACTTTTGCACCAATATCCCCTCGGCTAGCTAATGTTTTGAAAAAAAGGCTGTAGAGAGAAACTCAATGTTTTCTATTTTGCGACGGCGCTTAGTGTTCTTTTTTCGGCTCTGAAAAATCCAGTCACGGCAAGCAGACTCCCATTGGGACTAAAGTAATTGTCCTTCAAGGTGATTAGCTCAGTTCCTGAAGGAACCATCCATTCTCCATATTCTGCAAGATTTTGTAGACGAAATAAAATCGTAGAAATACAACCACTACGATGCCGAGATAATTGCAAAACTTGGACTCCATGCCAGACTACCAGCACGATTATCCTTTCCGGGGCTTACATGTTAGCCACTGCATCACCGTGGCCCTTGCTTTGCCTTTTTCTCAGCTAGTCTTTTTATCTTAATGGTGTCATCAGCAATCAACCGCAACGGGATTGATATGGGTAGCACAAATCGGTATTAAATCCGGTTAAGCTGAGGCTTTAGTCGAAATCACAGTGTGTAACTTCTATCCATTGCCCGTTATATTTTCACGTCAGGCTTATTATGTGAAATGCAGCTACCCTGATCTGAGATCTTTACGTTTTCATGATTTCTGTTGTAATTAATAAAACATCTGTAAGGTAAAGTAAGGGTGTAAAAGTAGGTAACACGTGAGGCCCTGGAAAAGATGATCGTGGGTTCTATCTGGCCTGAAGTCCACATTTTGCAAATGTCTCAGTACCATAATTGTTGTATTACACATCACACTCTGTCGTGAAAAATAATAATAGGCGGCAAAAAAAAGTTAACATTGTAAACTCGTAGAGTAACAAGAAACGTCGAAGTGGTCCATTGACGTGTTGTAGATGTAGCATTCTAAACAGGAATACATTCAAAAGCGAAGCTCAAATGTTGTAGAAGCAGGTACAGTAGTTCGCGTACTTACCTCCTTGTCACAATCAAAACTCTTTTACTTTAAGCAATTCGAATATTTAACTTCCATTTACTGCCCATCGTTTTTTCATGCAAGGTATTGTGTTATATGCAATCACACACAGAGATATGCGCATAATTCGAAATCTCAGTTGAGGTTTGAACCGGCAATTAGCATTTCAGAGGATTCACGTGCTATCCACCACACGGAATAATGCGAGCGAAGAGGAAACCAGCGACGTCAGGTGGTGTAGTGGATGGCACTTATACCCTCAGAAAGGAGAGGTGCGGGTTTGAAACCCAACTGAGGTTTCGAATTTTGGTAATATCTCAACATCCTAGGGCGCATGTGGCGAAATGGTTGGTGGCGCCACTGCTACACACACGCGGAATCGATCCCCACGCCCATGACCCATCAAGGCTTCCATCCCTCCGGGGTCGGCAAATTGGTATCAGACTTATCTTGGAGAATAGCAGAACTGGCTCGATACATCGATAGGCCACGGCGAGTCATTGTAAAGGCCAGATGTGCATTCAATCACCTCCAACGATACGTAGCGAAGTCTAATGCATGGCGTATCTCTAAGGGGTTGATGAACGCCCAGAGCTTCCTTTTTAGAGCTAAGCATCCTTTTCTTTTCAGATAATTGCTGAGAGCGCATAATCTTCCTTGTATGTGGCATGTACCCTCTAAAACACATTTGCACGTATGAGCCGCATATGACTGTCATAATTAGGAGCGTGTCAAATAAATAAAAAGTTAACATTATGATTTCCACTACAGCCTCAGCTTAACTGGGTTCACTGCCAATTTGGGTTCCCCAGATCAATCTCGTTGATGGGTGGTTACTGACGGCACTGGTAGATAGGAAACTAGCTGAGAGAAGGGCAAAACGAAGGACGCGCATGGTGTGGTGGTGAACGCGTTGGCTCTCGGAGAGGGGTAACAACGCGTTCATTCCCACGGCAAACACCTGCAGGCCAGAGTTTTCTAAATATCTCAGCATCACTATAGTTGTATTTCACATAGTACCCAGCCATGAAGAATTGTAAAAAACAAAGCATAAAACTTTCGGCGTTGACCTATCCCTGAGGGATACGCCATGCATTCACCCTCATTAAGCATCGTTGGAGGTGATTTAATGCACATTTGGCCTATACAATGACTCTTGGTGGCCTGTCGATGTATCGAACCAGTGCTGCTATGCTTTGAGACAAGTCAGGTACTAATTTTCCGAGTCCGGAGGGATGGAAGGCTTGGTGGGCCTGTGCGTGAGGGTCGATCCCATGTATATTACAGGGTGCCTCCGACCACTGCGCTACACGTACTCTACAAAGGAAATTTGCAGTAGGCAGCAAATAAAACGTTGACGATGGATGTCTGATTTGATGACACAACAGACCACCACGATCGGAGGCAAGTGCATCTACCGGTACGAACGAAGGTCACTTCGTAAAACAGCGGACTGGTTTGAATTTGTCACATGAGACTGCTGATAACTCTCTGATATTTCGCAACTACCAATGATCTCAATGTCTTTATCTTTTAAGCCGATCGTCATTTAACCTCTGCATTACTAATCAATATCTTCCTGGATTGCTAAGCAGACAAGAGGTTGATAAAGAGGTTTATTCGGCTAATGTCTCGACTTCTTCGTCTTCCTCATAGATGATGATCCGAGTCGATGGTCCACACTCGTTCGTCTTCTCGGATGTCCCTAGTGTTAAAACGTGTAGAGCCGTTCTTTAGCATAAATAATTCGAGTGGCCGATTTTCGATTAAGCCCGCCATCATTTAACTTACATCGTCTTACGAACCCTTATTTTGAGCTTGCATAAGGTTGCCATCATGTTTTCTCGGAACTCAATGGCCAACGTTTCGGCGACTTCGCCGGTTTTCTCTTGTTCGTTCTATGACTTAGGTGTTTCTTATGATTAAAGAGTATTTTTCGCACTATAAGAACACGAATACACAGTATATCTAGTCGCTGAAGAAGGCGGACTCTTCGAAACGTCACCTATCGAATTTGAAGAATAAATGCCGGTAACCTGATTTTGGGACAAAAGGAGGGTTCGCAAAATCAAATGAGTTAACCTTCCGCCATGTCAGCCACTGTGCCTACAAATCAGTGAGGCTACCAGGAGTTCAAGGATTATGACGGCGGCATGAATGAGAAACGTAGGGCAGAAATCGAAAAGGAAGAATGCCTAGGGCTATCGTCGAAAAATCTCTAGGAAGTTGACAACTGACGGTGTCTTCGATGTATCAACGGTGTACCTAAGACAGAATGGAGCCTGATACTCTACTCCTTATTGAAATCATTCGAATGCATGGTTGATGTATAGTTGGGTAAATCTGAACAACAAGTGAATGTGAACACGTTGATGTTCTGCCGCGTTATTTTACAAAAATAGCGCTTCCGATTGATCAACGTGAAGAGACAAGAGCTCCAGATATCGTCGTCGCCGTTCCGTACTGATGGTACCGATCCCATACCAGTTCTCATCGTCGAGACCGGATTGGTCGGGTGACGACTCACGGATGGTGAACGCCCGGCGACCTCCTCTCCAGAACGGGCATCGTGGCACTTCGTTTTCGAGGGCCATCATCCAAACACCACATACTCAGTCCTACGTTGTACAACATTCTTTTGTCTTTACGATCCTGAACTCAGTACGGCAGTCCTTTTGCTGTTCAAAAAAAGGACCAAGGAGCACTATGGGCTCTCTCCTGTCGTTATATTAGCACATATTGTTACCATATACTTCACATTATCTACCATTCCGTGATAGTACTCACTAATCGCGTCCATGGCTCTACTAGAGCACTGCTCAACCAGTACTGAATATCAGTAATGTACCAGCAGTACCACTACAAAGTAGTAAACTTGTCCACTGTTTCAGAATTTTAAATGACATTATAAAAACGTGATCTGCATTTGCGTAATATCTCGTCGCATCTCGTCCCTCCACGTGATTTCTTATGCTTGTCCTCCTCCCAACTGGCAGGATTCTGCGCACTTGCCATTCTTTGCAGTACTCTTGAGTTTCTCTCCGTTTATTTGCTAATTTATACCCAGATATCCCTTGAGAACCCATCTTGGTGAGGAGTTACATCTTGCTAGTGACTGCGGTTCAGCTTAAATACAGTCGTCATCGTCGGAAGTGATTGTTTTCGTTGTTTTTCCGACTACTCTTTCTATTCCCTTGCGCTCCATTGGTGCCGACTGTGACTTGTTCATATCAAAAGTCGGTCGATGCCCCAACGATCTCCGATTCTTCGCTGTTCGTCCGGAGGAAGTGACGACGATCGTCTACCGAATCTTCCTGACGAGATCATTGCACACATCGTCTCCATGGTGTCTCCGACTGAGGTACGTGCTCGTTTCCCTCGTGCTTATCGGGGACAAAGTCTATCTCTTACACAGCGAACAGTATCAAAAGCTTTGGGAACTGGTTTGTGTGTACGTGACTAGTTCTCTGAACCGAGAGATTGGTGAATCTCTTCGTTGTAAAACTTTGGTTCGAGATTTTGGAGAGGGTTTATGGAGGTCAAACCTCGCAAGGACTCAGCCCTGTAGTGTCCAACAGTTTTGGCGCTACGTTAGCGTTCCATAAGGGTAGAACAAAGCGTTAAAGGACAAGAGTGACCCATCTTTCGAAATCGAGCAGATTTATGATTAAATTTATATCGTACATCATAAATCAAATGACTTATTGATTTGCATAGTATACTTCTTTTAAAACTACCTTAGAGTTAGCATACCAGTTTACAAATATGTTCACATTACTGGGCTAATCTGTTGCAACCTCCCAACGGTTTATCGCCTCATCGTGGCTGGGAGGTGTTCCTGGGTGTCGAGTTGCGATGTACAGCGGTGGATTCATACCCCTGGTAGGGCTCCCCAAAATGAGAAGAAGTCCGGTGTTTCCAGCAGGAAACACAGCCAAGAATAAACGAATACCAGGGTCCACCACCGTCCTGGTATCAAAGTCGCAGCGTGGTAAATCTCCCTCTGATCCACAAAGCGGCGGCTACCTATGGCGGTGACGACCAGGGATAGACTTTGGCCTGCGCGACCTCGAGCTCCCAGGGAACCACAATGGCTTGGCCAGCAAAACTGCGAAAACATGGAAATTAGGTTAAGATGCGCACAACCAGTGAGTGAATCGGACCATCCAAGTATCGAAGTAAGTAATCTGTTGCAAAAGAGTTATGTTAATTATCTGGCCGCTATTTGTTCGTTTCTAGTTCTTTTTTTGAAGATAGTGCAAATTTATAAGCATATTATACTTTTAGACTGTAGCTTTACGTTGGATAGGTGTAAATTCCGGTTTCGACGAAGTCGTCGAGGAGCACCTCAAACGGTCGACAACGTTAAACGTTTGCGAGGACTTTATTTGGCGGTATCTCTGGTCTCACCTACTAGTAGGTAAGAAGAAAAGCTTATGCAACCGTTGCAGTTTTTTTCGTTCTTTAATATTTAAGATTTTCGCAATATGAATAATTTTGACACGTCTTCTAGGAACTCTCACGACCGACTTTCTATTAACCTCGGCAGGGATCGAACAATTTATATTCTTGTTGAGAAAACACGAGGTGCTATTTTATTTCTTTGTTTACGAACGAGCGGACTGATTCCGCTTTGCTCAGAGTTTAAAAAGGTCAAGTCGACCGGAAACTACCCAGACAAACACTTCCATAACCAGACCTTTGCCTGGGTAGATTGGGGTCAGCTTGACCTTTCCAAGCTGTAACGAAGGCGAAATCCGCCGAAACGTCAGCTGGTTCTTAAATAAAGAAGTAGAATTGCACCATGCGTTTGCTTAACAGGAATATAATGAATTTTTTTGTTGTAAAGTTGCTCAGAGGTTTCCATCAGAATCCAGCGGTGAACATTATGTATGAATATGTTTTTAAATTGTTGAGTTTACATGAGGTTGATACACATATTCATTTCGGCTGATGTCTCGACGTCGTCGTCTTCATCAGGGCCGTTGATCCGTGTTGATGGTTACAGTTTGGATTACTGATTATCTTGTATGAATTTTTCGAGCCTGTTCTAACACGTTTTTGTTTCATCCCTGTTGGTCTTCATTGAGTAATTCGCAGCAAATACATGTCATAGCCCTTTAGCTATTTTCTTGTGTTACAGAAAGCCCACTTTGTTCTTTGTGAAAAAGAAATTTCCAAATTTTCATTAATTCTCTGATTACTGGCAATTCAACTGTTTAGGTAAACCATTATGTTCGTCACATAAGTTCCTTCTAAAACTGCTTTCAAAGCGATATTTTGTGCATCTCAGAAAGCTCACAACTCCTATAGCGTTACTGACTCAAGGTTAGTTGAGCGTTCAGTTGTAAGTACTATGTGACGATCTAACATGTAGTATCGTAGTATCTAAATAGCAAATTTTGGATTTGCTCAACTACTAAACTATAAATTAGATATGCTCACTTCTAGTTCACTTCTTGTTAAAAGAGACGGTACCGGACCATTCTGACCTGGCCATGCCCCATTTGAGGAATCTCACGATACAAATTGGAGAAGAATGGGGACGTCTTCTAACCTCGCATAATTTTGACAACTTGAAAATTTGCAGGTCAGTTACTATCTAATGCGCTTAGAACTACTGAGTTGGCGTTTGAGTAAGGCGAAACGAAGAACACATATGGTGTGGTGGTGAACACGTTAGCCCTCGGAAAGGATAATAACGAGGTTCTATCCCCGCTGCAGACACCTGCGGTCCGGAGTTTTGCAAATATTTCAGCATCACTGTAATTGTATTTCACATCATGCTCTGCAACGAACACCTATGAATAACACATGTAGCATTGTGGACTGAAGCACATTTGGTTGAAATTTGTCTTTCATCTAGTGACGCCATTTATCCCTGAGTTACTTATTTGTAACCAAATGCCCCTGTGAGTAAAGAAGCATCAATCTTTCTATCAAGGCACTTGAAAATTGTGGGCGTTAACGTATCTCGGTAAGATGAATAAATCGTAAACTACCATTAACTCATAATGATGCTGAGATATTTGCAAAACTCCGGGCCACTGGTGTTTTCGGTGGGCATCGAACACGCTATTACTCTTCCCGGAGACTAGCACTTTCATCACCACATCATGCGGGTACTTCGTTTCGCCTTTCTCTCAGCCCTGTAGGTGCCATAAGCAATCACCCTTCAACAGAATTGATCTTGAGGGCACAAATCGGTATTGAACCCAATTAAGCTGAAGCGGTGATATAAATCACAATGTCGTTAATTTTTATTTGCTGCCCACTCTTTTCTTATGGCAGGGTATTTGATGAAGCATTATTATCTTTAACTCATTTCTTTAACGGCTGATTTAACTTATTCTTTCAGAAATCATGCTACTTGACTTTTTCTGCTCATATTCGGTTCAACTCTAGTATCAGCATTTTTCTTACTTTAGATGTCCTGCCGTAGGGTATAATTTTATATGCGCTTAAGAATTTAGCTCTCAATGCAGTACTGAATGACCTTAGAATTACTGATGACCATTGAACTATCCAAAATTGGTTACCCCAATAGGTTGCTGTTTTTCCTTGGAGTAAGTTTTTACTACAAAGACGGCTGAAGCATACTTTCGTTGTTTTCAGCTTTTACTGTCAAATTGAAAGTTGGGATGGCGTATTTCCTCCTCACTGTTGCTTAACAAAGTGCTATAACTATCGTCATTGTTAAATCTGTCATATTTCATGACAAACTTTGTTATGAAATATTGTATGTTCAATAATAGTGTAATTTCATTCCAGAAAACTCTGTGGTTGTCTTACGGAGGTCAATCTTCATGTGAAGATCTCCGATTCAGAATCGGTTACCTGTTGCGGGTTTCGTTCTCTGGTCCGCTATTTGTTAGAAGTGACAAATTCCCAGAGTAGGTTAATATGTTTTTCGATTGTTTCCTGTACTATGATTTCCACCATTTACAGCGATTTGGAATCTAACGTTGGAGGACTGTACAACTAGTGGGCAAGGTTACCAAGGTCTCGCGGACCTGACTCGTAATCGTAACAAGGTATCATAGCGTTTTGCATAAATCGATTCTTTCACTTCTGTTTCGAAATAGTCTTCAAATATTCTTCATACATCCACAGTCATTCATATGCTATGTTCGGACGCTTTTGGATCTCAATACGACGATCAATAGGCTCACTCTTCTGGACAGACGAAAGATCTCACCTTATATGATGATAACGTCTCCTCATAAGCGGCGATCGATATATATGTATCCGGAATTCAAGGTTGGCCTTAGATTACTATTGATTATTACCCTTTAAGATTTTTTTACGGCCAAGAAAAGGTGGTCTGTTCAAGTTTCGTTTTTGTTCTGCTGTAAATTTGTAAGCTTAACGTATAAGTTTATTGATGGACAGCGTTTTCTACCTCAATGCTAGCTAAGGTTCGTTATTATCGAACTCGGAGTGCTCGGTTTTACATGAGACAAATGCACATTCCATGCTATGGAAAGCAAATGTTTTTTTGGTATCCCAAGGAGTGGGTAGTGTTGTGGAAACAAAAGTACAAACACTAGTTCGTATAACTATTATCGAGCATTACTTTTCCACTCGCACTAGCCCTCATGTGTTTCAAGGATGTCTTAAACCTTTCTTTTAAAGTTTGAATACTAAAGTTCAAAAACGGGACGGTTCTTTTCTTTTCTTGAAATTATTCGGTTTTTTGAATGATCCTTTCAGCTGTGATCATTTCTAGATCCTAAGATTTCTTTTCTTCAGTGCTGTCGTGAACTATTTGTTTGCTACGATATTGGTTTGATTGCACCTCAATTCGCCCATCATAATGACAGTTTTACTTCTTTGCGGATATTTGAGGTGGACGAGTCTCATGTTTTCTACAAGAAGGACTTATTAGAGTATCTCAGTAATGCGCCAAGTATGTCTTTGCTCCATTTCTGACGCAAACCATAACCTAGTTTTAATTATGGTCAACATGATATTAATTACAGTAAACTGTACATATTTTGAAATATAAAAGGGCGATCGCTAAAGGATTTAACTCATGGAGGATGACTCATGGTCAGCAATTTCTCGCAACAAAAAGAGTGGACATAAAATTTTGCATTAAAGTGGAAGGGTGCTCATTTTATTCCCGTCATTTGTTATCTGGTTGTCTGCATTAGGCCAAAAATAAACAGAAGTCTGTGTTGAAGATGCAACCGGAATGGTATCTTGCCTTAAAACGGTTATTGCTTAACTAAGAATTCCGGGTCTTCTTTTGTTAACAAAACATTTCGGATTGTGGATTCTGCAAGTAATAAAGTCTCGGTGTCCATAAATTTGTTCTCTCGTTTTCGACGTTGAATAAGGCACAACCAGTGAAAGGCAGCTAATCTCTTTGATGCACGCAGTGTAAAATATGAAGGATCAAATTGACCGATGACACCGTGTTCTTCGTTATTCATGCCATTAAGGCCATGAGGAAACGGATACAGGGTGGAACCTCGGTGAGATCATCGTGCTATGAATAATTATGCATAAATGGATATTCATGTAGTGTGAGGTTCAGCATCTTTCATTTGATTCGTTTCGTCGTATCTATATATGAAGGTTTTTGGATTTGCATGTGGATTGGATTGTGCTGCTGCTTGATGGTTTTGATCTTCTATATGAACGTGGTCTAATGTTGTTCGAGTAGATTTTCATTACAATCCTCCAGTAGCCGTGTTAGGACGTTCCGAGGTCTACATCACAGGTAGTTAACGGCCTTTATAGATCGGAGATATTTCGATACGATACTAATTTGTGGACTCAGAATGATGGAAATCTACAGCAGCTGATGTCATGCTTGTTTGATGGGATCTGACCCCGTTGGAATGGTGCTCTTTCTCATGGAAAAGGTTGCAATTTGAACCTTAGAGAGAACTACTGAGGCGATATGTCCATGTTTCGTAAGATGATAGAAAGCAGGTGGATGTGGTCATTAGACTAGGGTTCATACGTAACCTCTATTGCGTTTCTGCATAAAATGACTGTATCGTCTATACTTGTGATAAAAGTGGTGAATGTGTATTGATGTTTTCACATTAAAAGTGATCATTTTATTTGCGTGGCATTTGTTCCACAGTTGAATGTGTGGGTGACATTTCATGTAGTTTAAGGTTAAGAGGTATCTATGTATAGTGTAAGTGTAAGATGACTTACAATAGCTTATTTTCAGACCTTTGTGAATTGCGGGTTGTGGTGCCGGCTACCTGGTGTCGTCGCGTGAGCAGGTGTACAAAAGGGTGTTTCAAAACTCCTGACTTTGCGTGCTTTAGGTACGCGTTTAAGAACTGCATTAGAACTTTAAACTTATGAAGAATCCCTTGATGTCAAATTAACCACTCTATACTTCAAGCAGACTCAAAACACAATGCTTCATCGCAGCACTAGTCTTACCAGAAATAGGAAACTTGGGTAAACACAGAGTTATACTACTCACTACTCCTTCGCAGAGCCATTCATAATGGTTATATTCACAGTATATCCACAACAGTTTTCAGGCATACCTTCGTCAGCTCCAATTACTCTTGAAGCAGTGAAAATTTAACCAGGCGTCTAAAATTCTATGAATAAAGAGATTTGGAAGGAATTTGAAACGTTTACGTGGGAATAAAATTGTGTAAATTCATTGGGTGTGTAAGCGTTTTCTGTGTTGACAGAGCTTTAATCTTGGTTTGTTACTGGATGTCTTGCAAAACAGCAATTTTCAGTAAAATATAGTGAGTTATTTTTTGATCTTATTATTCAAGATTACCGGCGAACACTCACACTTTCCTATAACGAAGCGGATAGTTTAATAGTTTGTTGAAGTTATAGCAGTTATACAGGTTTCATAGAAAGCTCACGAACAGTGAAACATTGAACTTGCGCTTTTTTTTAAACAATACTTTGCACTGTTACTTCACTCCTTTTTAAGTTTTCGTCCCGAAAACCCAGCTAAGAGTAAACCGAAACAAAGAGTCACTAACGTCTTAGTATAAAACTAGTCGCACAATGGCAAACCTTCCGCTGATTCACGAGGGCGACGACTGCTTGAGGAGGTGACGACCTGAGGAAGGGTTCAGCTAGACTGGCCTCAGATTTCCAGAGAACCGCAGTGACTAAATCGACAAAATTTCAACCTCAGTACGCCGCACAAAAGGCACTGTCGTCCACGACGTCGGGAGCTGAGGCAACCGGCGAGAGGCCATCAAATCTCAGGTTGCACAGGACGTCATTGGAAACCGACTAAACGAAGACGCCACCGACGCGCCACGGAGAGTGCTTTTTTCTCTGTACCAATAACACCAGAACAGTTTCGACAGGCACCAACATTTATGCTGTCCTTGAAGCTGCTGGTGGTACCAGTTTCCACGTGATCGCTCCACAAAAGACGGAAATCAATAAGGCCGACATACACCAAGTAGACGAAAACAATTTCCATTCTTGTAGGGAAACATCCGTTACAAATTGGTGGAGGCGTTGGTTTTGTCGCCCACCAAAATTCCCATTTAGTCACCTCATGCAAAATCCTACCTCCGCGCTTGACCATAGTTCGTTTCCGGTTTCCGCATAGAAAGAAACTCTATCATCAACTCCTAGTCATCAACTTGTACAGCTGATGAGAACGAATTGGATGCGTTCTACAACAAGTTGAAGGAAGTAATCCGCAACGACGAATGCTAAAAGTTCGATGTTGTAGGCTTCAATGCCAGATTAGGAGCGGCTAACGGAAACGAGTACAGTATAGGGGATTCAGAATAGGAGAATGAAATGAGGATGGGAGCCGCCTTGTAGTGCTCCTATCCGCAGCGTGTCTCTTCTATGGCAATCTGTGCGAAAATTTTCAGCCGTAAGCTGGAAAAGAATTCGTGTCGTCGACCACGAGGAATAAGTCCAGCTCTGCATGGCGAGAACATTTTGAACGAAACCCTATCCAAACATGTTTGGCAGATAAAGGAAGACGCGACCGCAGACTACGAGCTGCTTCCCGAAGGACTGAAGGGGTCGAATTTGCCCCAGTTCCCCAAGCAAAAAGATCGGATCGCTTCTTCATTATTACTATGAATTTGCTCGATGAGGGAAAGACCCTGAAGGTTTGTCCCACTGTAACACACATAAAATGACTGGCAGTAATTGCCACCTGTTCGCAAAAGCATTGAACTAACAAGGGAAAAGCTCTATAGCAATCTTTAACGCACCACAACCTTCATCTCGAACCCCGAAATCCCTGATGGTGAAGGGTGCCCGGGATTCTACCCTCTGAAATTCGAGTTGCGATAGAAAACATGAAGAGAAGCACAGCTCTAGGATTTGTTGATGTCACCGCCGATTTCTTCAGAGATGGAGGTTACAAATTACGTATGAATATGTACTTTTCGCAACTTACATGACACTTTACCTTTAAAATGGAGAAGTTCCAGACCAGTGAACGAGCTCGCGCTTGATCATCTTACCCAAAAAGGGTGCCCGAATGGATCTTCCTAACTATCGTCCAATATCGATCAGTGCTATCAGCAGTTAACCGTCAGCGGAATAGATCTGGGGAGTCGAAATCAGCATTGAACCTAGTTAAGCGGAGGCCGTAGTTGAAATCACAGTTAGCTTTTTATTTGCTGCCTACTCATGGGTGATTGGTGATGGCAATGATCGATAGAACCAACTGAGAGACAGGCGAAACGAAGGACCCACATGGTGTGGTGGTGAACGCGTTAGCCTCCTAAAAGGGTAATAGCCCGTTCGTTACTCACCACAGACACTTGCGGTGCGGAGTTTTGCAAATATCTCAGCATCATTGTGGTTGTATTTCGCATAATATCCTGCCGTGAAAATTGGAGTAGGCAGCAAATCGCAAAGCTAGCACTATGGTCCAATATGTTTATTGAATATACTCTACAAGCTGTCCGCAATGTTGTTCATATCCAAGATCTGTGGCGCGGGGTTGGAGGCGTCACTGGAGTACATTCGTGGAATCGATCCCCACGCCCATAGCCCACCAAGCCTTCCATCTCTTCGGAGTCGGCAAATTGGTACTAGGTTTGCGTGGGAGAGTAGCAGCACCGGCTCGATGCATCGGTACGCCACCGCGAGTCGTAAAGGCCAGATATGCATTCAATCACTTCCAGCGTTGCTTAATGTGGTTGAATGCATGGCGCATCTCTCAGGGATTGATCAACGCCGAGAGCTTTATCATTTGATTATTATTTATCGAAGACCTTGGACGAAGCACATCCAGTTAAGCAAACAGGATTCCAATAAGAATTATGCTGCATGGGTCACATCCAAACCGTTTCCAAGGTCATAGAAGTTTGTTGGGAAAACCACTTGCCCCTTGTCGTAATCTTTATCGACTACGTGAAAGCGTTTGACAGCGTCGAAACAAATGGACTCCTATCAGCGCTCGTCGACCAAGGAGTGGTTTCGTCCTGTGTACGAACGGTAGCTGACTATTCTTCGAGCTGCAACACAAATATACAGCTGTTTCATTAACACCCCACCATACCTGTAGAAAAAGAGGTTTGAAAGGAAGACTCAGTATCACCAAAGTTATTTACTGCTTCACTGCAATGGGTGAAGAATTCACTCGACTGGATTAAATGGGCTTACGAACTCCCACGTATTGACGAACCCATGGAGCGAACGCGAAAAATCGGACTGGTTGATTCTCTGATTACAGGGACAATCTCGCACGTGTCTCTTGAACGTTCGGTGAACGTGGTGAACAAAATAGAGAGGGGGAATGAGGCAAAAGAAGGAGAGCAGCATCGGTCGCATCCATCCGAGCTTTTCAAGGAAACTATCAGAAGGGTCGTGAGCTGATAATTCAAACACGTCAAGAAGTCTGTGCACCACGCGCAGAGCCCTTGTAGGATGTCATGTGTAATTTAGCCAGCACTCACAACATTCTAGTTGGAATGCGAAGCCCTAAACTTCGAAATTTATCTTATTTTCAAGATCCAGAAGACTATATATAGTTGGCGGAGCGTAGATGGGCCAGTCACATATTGAGAAGAACAGACGATAGATGAAAACAACTGTGAGACGCACTCCACCCAGATCCAAGCGTCCCATGAGACGACCAGCTACGTGTTACGCCGACGTGTTTGCAATTAAAATTAATAAGCTTTACTAGCAGCTGCCGACGTTTTACAGATTACGGAGTGAGCATTCCACCTATGTGTTGGAGTCCGCACAACTCATAGAGCTTGCCGTATCGAAGCAAATGTTTGGCTCCAACGTTTGAGGAGTCGCCATCCGTTTGATGGTAAAATCACTTCATTTTATATAACTACCTAATATGAGAATCGTGAACATCTTACACAGTCGTGCCCATGTGCATCGGTCTCAATGCATTTGGACCGAAGAACGATGTAGACTTTCAATTGCGGGCTAAAATATCTTATCTCGTAGTAAACTTTATTAGTTGAAATGAACACCATTAAAATTCGCAGTTATCTACAATACAAAAATTTTGTTACTTTATCTTTTGCCAAACCTCATATCTCGCTCAGCAAGATGAGCCAACATGAATGTTTTCTTTAGCAGCATGTAATGATGTTCCCAAAAGCATTGTTGATTTCTGCACCGAGTTCTCACACATGTGGCAAAAAATTTTCGGCGTTTTTGTTACATTGTAAACAACATTGCTGTTTCATAAACGTGATTTCCCTAAAGGGGTTTCCCAAGCTGAATAGAATTTTGGTGTTTCCATCAGGAAGCTTAGCCGAGAGTAAACCAATACCAGGATCCACCACCGTCCTTGTATCAAAGTCGCATGGTAAACCTCCCTCTGATCTACAAAGACTGCAACTGCCTGTCGTGGTGACGACGTGGGGTAAATTTTGGCCAGGCTGTCCTCGGGATTCCAGGGAACCACAATGGCTTAGCCAGTAGATCTTCGAAAAATGGTGATTATGGTGGGGTTCGCACAACTAGTGAGGATGGGCCGTTCAAGTATCAAGTAAGTAAGGTTTTCCTAAATCAGCGTTTCTATGTTTTTCTAAAACTACTATTTTTCGACATTACCTTTACATCGTTCCTAGTGAGGCTTGGCAACGATTCAGTGTAGTTTACTTATGTTCTCACTCACCACCAATATTTTGTTTTTCTTTATTCTATGTCATTTGTTTGAACGACATAGTAGCTTTTCTGTTTTCATAGAAAACATCGATTAGATTTTCAGACCCGATGGTTGGTGCACTGTGCAAAGCAGGTTGCCCACAACTAGATTCGCTCTTATCGGTTGGAATGACAAGCTCTCAGAGAATAACAAATCGGTTTGCAGGTCTTACGGCTCAAGAATCCTGGCCGCATAAGTGAAAGTAATCTTTGAGGTTCCTACACTATATCTCACTTTTGTGTTTATGTGTATATATTGCTAGCGTTATTCAGTATTTATCAGAGGTGTCTAAATATTTGAACAACTTGTACAGTCATCTATCCAGTCGCACGAAGTATTCTCAAATGATCGCATTCAACCGCTGACCTTGTTTCAATTCTTGATTTCGTCCTTTCTTGATCTGTCGTTCTCTATTCATTGTTTCAGCTTGCCGTAAAAATGATGTAAACACATCTCTACCTTCGGGCTTTCATGTACGTTTGCTTTGAGAGTGAAAATGTCAATATCTATCTTGTTCCTGTCTTGGTGCTCTTGTATTTGTACATGTAGTCGATAGAAAATCTTGAAAAATTACTTGTAGAAGTTAATTTTTTGTTGTTGTTTTGTGCTTGGATAACGTTTCTTTTGTGTTTTCGAGAAAAATCTTTCCTAAAATGCTTCAACAACTTTTTTGTGATATATT